AGGCAGCAATGGGACAAAATCTGCAACTCTGCCGATGGTCAGATGCACAATGGCAAGACATGGATTATGTTAAAGCATGTCCTCAACGAAAACACCACCAAAACAAATCAAAAGCATGTTATGGCTCGAATTTTGCACAAAAAGATAGGGCGCACCACAGAACAGCAAGTTGTGCAGCGGCTCGTGCATAAGTACCTCCCAATCAAAAGAGGATTGGCACCACCAAGTAGACAGTACCAGGGCAGGCCCAATCTAGGTCTTGAGGGCGACTTTAACATCGAGGAGATCAAAAGAGCCTCTCATGATCTCAACGGCAGGTCCGCCCCTGGCCCGGACGGTATATCAAACAAGGCCCTTCGTAACCTTGATGATGATTCAATTGAAACCCTGAAGGATATGATCAATGCAGCATGGAAAGAAGGCAGGGTGCCAGAGCAGTGGAAGCTGGCCAGGACGATCCTTATTCCTAAGCCAGGAAAGCCCCCTAACTTGGACAACATGAGGCCAATATCCTTGACATCATGTATCGGCAAGGTTGCAGAACATGCCATACTGCACAGGATAAACAAGTACTTGGAAGATAATGACATATATACACACAACATGGTTGGATTCAGGGCAGGGCTATCCACACAAGATGCATTGAAGCTTATCAAACACCAGGTCATCGACAACGAAACGAGAGACGTGAGAGCCATTCTGTGCCTAGATCTAGAAAAAGCGTTTGACAACATCCACCACTCATTCATACTCGAAGCAATTTCCAAGCTTGGTCTGGGGAAAGCCTTCTATGACTACGTATGGTCCTTTCTTACAGATCGGAAAGCCTTGATGAAGATTGCAGATATCGAGACCGCAGCAATCGAACTAGAAGCAAGGGGCACGCCGCAAGGGGCAGCGATTTCACCAATGCTGTTCAACATTGCCATGATTGGACTGTCAAAGAAATTATCGAGCATTGAAGGATTGAAGCACAGCATCTACGCAGATGACATTACCATCTGGTGCACAGGTGGAAGCGAGGGGCAGATTGAGAGCGCCCTGCAAGAGGCGATTGACACCGTGGAAGAGTACCTTCGTCCTTCAGGGCTCAAGTGCTCCTCGAGTAAGTCAGAACTTTTACTGTATAGAACTCAACGCCGGGGACCGAAACCCAGGGGATGGAAGTCGTTAAACCAGATAGACATCCACCTCCGTACAAATCAAGGGGATTCCATCTAGAGGGCCGACTCCATCAAAGTCCTGGGCATGCTGATAGAGTCTACCGGCACCAACAGCAAATCTATAGCCAAGTTAACTTGGAAAACAGACAGTGCGGTGCACCTTATACGCAGAGTGGCCAACATAAGAAATGGGATCAAGGAAGACAACCTCATCAGTTTGATGCATGCGTTTGTTCTAAGCCACTTCACGTACGAGGCACCAATGCACAACTGGTCAAGAGCAGAGTCCGAGACACTGAATGTGCTCCTCAGGAAAGTTATCAAGAATGTCCTGGGCCTACCCATACATACCAGCACGGAGCGTCTGCTTCAGCTTGGCATTCACAACACACTCGAAGAAATAGCAGAAGCCCAAGAGAGAGCACAGTTTGCAAGGTTATCTACAACAAGGTCGGGGAGAATGATCCTGCAGGAGCTGGGCCAACACCCAATGGCAATCAGGCACAATTACAATGATATCCCCGACAACATCAGGGAGAATATCACGGTGTCTCCTATACCAAGAAACATGCATCCAGAACACAACGTCGGAAGAAGAGTAGCGAGGGCCAGGACTATACTTCGTCAAGTCTCAAACGAGGAACGAGGATTCGTATTTGTTGACGCGGCTTCCTACGCCAATGGGAAAGCGTTTGTAGCAGTGGTGGTTGATGGGGCTGGCCATGTCGTCAACTCAGCGACGGTCAAGACGAAAGACCCAATCATTGCGGAACAGGTGGCCATCGCCTTAGCACTCAAGATGGATAACATTGAAGTCGTCTACAGTGATTCCATGGCAGCACTACGGGCGTTCGCCAAGGGAACGGTCTCTGAACAAACGCTGAGAATACTGCAGGGCAAGAACATAACGCATCATCTTCTGAGTTGGTTCCCAGCTCACCTTGGGCAAATCAACGATTCCCCTTCCAATCTCAATGAAGCAGCACAGGAGGCGGCGCGAGAACTCTCCAACTGCGCCTCCCCGGGGATGCGTTCTACCGGTGAAGGGGATAACCGGGAAATTCTTACAACATATAACGATCTCACGAAACATTTTTACCTGTCTAGAAGGATTTTCCCTCCACCTCACAAAAATCTAACCCGGCCCCAAGCACTTACATTAAGGCTTTTGCAAACGCGGATGTATCCTACTTTGAAAATGTTACACATCATGTACCCTGACCTATACCCAAGTAATCTTTGTCCACATTGTGAGGAAATAGCTTCGTTAGAACACATGCTCTGGCAGTGCACCAAATTCGCTCATATATCGAACATCACCTCTGCCAGATGGGAGGCGAAAATCCGCAGCTCATCCTTGGCAGATCAGCTCTGGGCTGTCCACCAAGCCCGCGAGGCGGCTGAGGAGCTTGGCATCTCAGTCCCCACGTGGGAGCGGTCCGCAGCACAGTGATCTGTGTTTTGGAGGACCAAATAAAAGTTTATCCAATCGAATCCAATACGAGCTACGTGGAGTGCTACACGCCAAAGACGGGAAACGAATACTCCGCGTCGACTCCATACGCATTCTCGACCACCTGTCATGCACGAACGAAAACACACATCACAGCTAAAACGGAAAACATGATGCTCCGACTCATTTAGCAAGTCTCGAGTCGCACACGAGGACTCGGAGAAACCAAACTTCTGCGCATACACCACGCGTTCATCATGAGCCACATCAATTACGACTCGGCCGTCGCTTACAGTAGCGGCTGCTAGGTTGTCCCTCACGGGCACCCTGGTAGCTTCAAATTCCTCAGTACCTCTTAATAAAGTTCTTGACTAGCACCCTTCATTAAATTTAGCGAAAGAAAAGTTGCCTCAAGGGTGACAGGCGCACGAGACAATATCCTAATAAGAACGAGACACGGAAGATAACAATGAAAAAAGATTATTTGGAAAGGAGTATCCAAATTTAAGACAAATATAGGGTTTGTCACAAGGCAAACTCACACATACTTCGTGAGGATACGTTAGACGGTTCTATTTTGATAAGGTAAGTGGAAAAATGTGAAATCTGCAACACATTAGCTTGAAAAAGTTACCATGTGAGAAAATAAGGCTCACAATGTAATTTATATTCTAGACTTTGAAAATAATCTTTGGCCAAAAAATTATGGACACCTCTTCGAAGTGAACCCTGATGAGATTCGAAGCAGCAGCGGTGCGCACGGCATTGACCTGCTTGAAACAGGCGTCGACGCGGGTGCTGAAAAAATGGTTTGAAGCGAAACTTGGTGTAGCGTTTACTAGAGTAAACATTTGTTTGAAACGCCAAGACACGGGAGGCGGGTTGCGCTTCTTGTAAGTTTCAGCACTGATCAATGAGCCCAAAGAGTGTTTCCTATCGACGTGTGGTCGAGCGTTGCGGGTGGTGGAGAGGGTGAAGCGAGTGAGAAGTATGTTGCAAGTGGGTGGAGGAGCTGGCAGCTGTGGGCGCCACAGGGGAGCAAGGGCGACGTCAACGCACACCTGCGAGAGAATGTAAGAGGGGAGTGTGACTTCAACTCACAGCTGTGGTGTGACCTACTTGGCACCACTCCAACACCTGCGGCGAGGGCAACGCGTTGCGGCGCGTTGATACGGACGCACGTATGTACAGCTTTACACACATTAGTTGAATAGCAGCTTCGTATCTAAAAAAAGGAGGAAAAAAGAGTTAAGGGCTAATTCTTGGTTGTCACGTCGTTCATGTCGAGAGCTAATTCACGCTATAACACGAACTATACTGGCGGACATTTCTTGACAGTGGAGGGAAAGCTACAGGGCTGGAGCTTCAGAACTTGTAGCCCTACTTGAAGTTGTCTGGGTCAGAGCGCTTCTTGCACCAATGTGGAAAGTCGGCTGCGTGCCATCAGTGTTTCATAACCCCGCCGACGCTGTTAAGCATGTGAGGTACGCCTAAAAGATGGAATTTTGTCATCTACCCAACAACGCAACCTGACAATACATAAGGCTATCCGCTGGACGGGTGTGCTAGCCTTCCAGTTTCAAATAGCTCTACGTAGAAAATAATAGAAGAGTGTTTCTACACACTAGTAGAACTGGATTCGTTAAAAGTAGGATATGCTCGATTTGTGCCTGTAAGCATTCGCTTAATTGCGAAGGAAAGTTGTCCGTTAGTATGGCATTGCTGCTGCAGCAAGATCCACGCAATGACGTCGATGAGTAAATGTGACACACGTCAGTGCTTCGGTGCAGTGAGAGACACCTCAGCGGAAGGCATCCCGCTTCCCGCCGTGTTGTCTCTCACGTTCAGGAAGCGCTCCGGGAGATTTCTAGAAGCGCGCAAGCAGACGCAGGTTACCCTAATATTGGCGATCACATGCACCTTGGAGTTTTTTTTTCTCAAATAACGACAAACTCAATGAGGGAATATCGAATACTGGTGCTTATGTGCTTGTTGATGCTCACTTTGCGCGGGATTAACCATAATCTGCGTGCACCTGCATGTTATTTACTAGAGCTACTAAATATGTTGACTCATAAACCTGGACTGCAATCGTTCAGTACAAAGACGCGGTACTAGAAGTCAACATGAGACTGTCCCTGTCAAATGGTGTTATAGGTGCTAAACAATGATAGACATACTTCTCATCTATCATTGTACAAGAAACAATGAACGATTTATGTTGAGACAGGTTTGATATTCGTGTTGTGTGGACTGCTATAACCCAAGAGTGAACTACAACTTTTTTTATGTCCAGAACCAGAACAAGTAGCGAGCAGCATTACTTTCTCTTGACTTGCAACTCCTTTTTACCTCCTCTTGTAACCCAAAGTGTTCCTATGCAGAGATCGAGATAACCTACAGGCTGCCATGCACTTCAAACGTCTGCAAGGACATGTGCAACGTGCGTGGATGTTTCCAGGGCATATGCAAGTATTCGCCGGACCAAGTGGGCTCACCTCGCATATGCATATGCAAGGGATACGCATCGATATGTGCCTGAATGAACGCTACCATGTGACATCTCTGACCCCGAAATTGAAGCAAGCCAGAAGGGAAAGAAAACATTGTGCAATTAGGAGAAGGCACCAAGATATGTCTTTTCAGATTTCTTTTTGTGAATCAAAGCCAATAAATTGTGAACACTGAATAAACAATCAACAAATAAATCAGTGAATTCAATCGATCAAATAATTAATGAATAAATCAATCGATCAATCAGCTGGTTTTATTATCGTGACATAAAAGGATGTTAAGGGCGTAAAATATACAGAATTGCTGAATAATAAAACAAACGAGTGATAATGGTTATTACATCTTCAAGACTATATAGTGATGAACCTGTTCCGTATAAAAAATGTGCAATTTGTGCATGAATTGAACCCGAAAATGTTACGTAAATTGCGTACATACAACCATTTATAGTGTCAGCAAATGTTTTTGACGAGGGTAATAACTGGTAATGTAAGTGAAACATACATATTCTAGTTCATCAAGAAGCCATCTTTCACGTTTCGCATCACAGCCACAATTCACATATCGATGTTGCTTTTAACGCAGGTGGGTAGACGGGACAACGCAATTCTGGAGTGGCTGTAAAGCATAAAACTCTCAAACAATTCTCGCTCAAGAATTAACTAAAAAACTCTGTAATTTCCTGTTTCTGCCATTTTGCAGCAATGACCACGCCATTGTGGTCTGGTGGTTAAGGTACTCGGCTGCTGACCCGCAGGTCGCGGGATTGAATCCCGGCTGCAGCGGCTGCATTTCCGAGGGAGGTGCAATTGTTGTAGGCCCGTGTGCTTAGATTTGGGTGCACGTTAAAGAACCTCAGGAGGTCGACATTTTCGGAGTCTTCCACTACGGCGTCTCTGATAATCATATGGTGGTTTTGGGTCGTTAACCCTACATAAAAATCAGTCAATTTTAGTGTAATACCATGTTTATATTTACCTTACGGGAACGCTTATATAAAGATGGTTATCTCCTTTTCGGGAATTCTACATCTGTGGTAGCATATGCCTCAATGTTTTGATGAATGAAAGTTTAGAAGTTGTAATAGAAAATGGCATCACGACAAAAATGCTGTAGAACGAAGTTGCCATAGATGAAAGTACTGAAATACCGTGTGTACGTTTCTAGATGCTGAACAAGCGCCAACCAGAATCTCGACGTTACAATACTCATTTCAAAGATAATTGAAGTGTCACTGGTTCCATTTCAAAATAGGAAAGTCTTTAATCTACCCATACAAATCCTTTCCACATATGCTTACAGTATATTTGCGTATAATGTGCCCTTCGAAAGTCCCAGAACAACCACTGAAAAAAGTGTATAAACTATCGCGTTCGCGTCTCGAGGCATTTCTTGTGTTTTCGCGGCTGTTCCTGAAACTAACAATGTGCTCGACGGTACATCATTATTTCACAAGGTCTTTTGAACAGCGGGGTTGTTTTAACAGGCCGTAATCTGTCCAACGTGAACGAAAATTCTCAGCCGTGTATGCACCACAAGAGTGGGCAAGGCCCACTACCAAGTAGAACAGCTGCGCGTGTTAAAAACTTCGTTCGGCGAAAGAAAGCGCGCGAAGCACATAAAACAGAGGCATTTGAAGAAAGAAGTTTCAAAGAAAAGAGCAAAATGAAATAGAGAGATTTAAATGAAAAAAAAAACAATATAGGTATGGAGAGTATGAAAGACAGACGAAAGACAGAGAGAGAGGAAGAGAAAGATACTGGCACAAAAAGTTAGCAAATATAGAGCAAGACTAATAAAGAAAGAAGTTGAGACAAAAAATATATTAAGAAACATGTACAAAGGGAGATACAACAGATGTCTATTTCTTACGAAAAACAGATATAAAGAGGACGACAGAGATGAAGAAACAAAGCTAGAAATAAAGAGAAACAAGGAAGGCCGCTCAGCTGCACTCTTCTTTCAAGCTGGGAAGCACTAATAGGAATTTACCATATTTTTTCCCCTACCATGCTTTGCCATGCCATCGCATGCCTGCACCTCCTCGTCGTCTTCGCGCGACTGTCATGCTCACGATCATCTCCGCATTAGGATTTGTTACTGCGTAAACAGCGATAACGGCGTTGTAAAGGAAATTGACAAAGTCCTGGCAGGGTGCAGGGATCAGTAACAGCGTTGTTAGCACGTGTTCTAAAGAAACGTGAGAAGGGAAAGGTATAAAGAAGAAAGAAAGTCTGGTGAATGCCGATATTGCAACCGTGCCGTCACGTTGAATCCCAGGTTGGCAGTGTTGTTCTTGTTTTTTTCTCCAATATTCACTTATTTACATGTCCTTAAAGTCCAGGCTTTGAAATTATGACTGGCCCAAGGAGGTTTGAACTTCCTTGCACTGACCTTATATATATGTAAATGCGAGAAACGCATGTAGAGTACAAAGAGACGGCACCTTGAACATCAGTAATCCATAAGAAGCAACTGAGAATAATCTAAACCAAATAAATGTACACTGTGAATTTTTATGTAAGGTAACACGGGAGCGCGTGGCATGCGCGCTCTGGCGGCTGCTGGCAGCGCGTTCAAGCGAGAGCGAGAACTACTACAGTCTCTTTTCGCGTCATCTCGTGGCGGAAGAAACAACCAATCGTTGGTGATATGGAACCGGCGGCAAGATTGTGACCCCCTTTCCCTTCAAGGCGATTACGCGAGAGCTGGTAATAACCTTGAAGGGGAAGTGGTTGCAAGCTTGCCATACTATGTCAGCAACGAATGGTTCGTTTGCTCACCGCGAGATGACGCGAAAAGAGAGTGTGGTTGCTATCGCTCACGCTTGAACGCGCTGCCAGCAGCCGCCAGAGCGCGCATGCCACGCGTCACCGTGTTCCCTTTCCAAAAATTGACACTGTACATATCCCTCTCCGTGAAATAACGTTTCTCCTTTTTTGTGTTAGAGAAATGCACTCGTATTCCGAGTAATGTTAGACGCACGCGTCTAGGTTACGTTGCTTGAAATACGAGCGCATATTGAACGTGAATGCGCAGAAACTTTCCAGTTTCCAAGTGTTTTGTATTCTGTGAAGCACACAAAGAACATCGCGCTTGTTTTACTTTTTCGGTGGTTATTCCGCTTCATTCCTACACACGTTTCTCATTATTGGGATGTCGCACATCTTTATTCTTTTGAAACAAGTGCACAATTGTTTAGAAGTCTGTGTATGACCGTGAAACCACTGACGAGTAGACACCAGTCTGATTCCAAACATTTTTGTCAGTAATGATTCAAGACGATGATCCTGGCTTAAATAAAAAAAATCACAGCATATCCAAGGACTGAATTATAATGAGTGGGACGAAGAATCCATCCGACCATCCAACCGTGGGTCCGTCCGTGCGTCTGTCCGTCTGTCTGTGTGTATGTTCGTCTGTCTAGTGAATCCTCCAAGCACCACCATTTCACATTTTTATCCTATATTGATTATATATAAGTACCGCCATCTAGCAGGCATTTCAAGAACTAAACGAGGTGGCTACCTACTACATACTTAGGGGACAAACGAGCCACGGTTTAAGGAGCTTCACCCCTAAAAGTCTATCCCCTGTGGCACATACCCGCTTTCTTGGGTATGTATCACCGGTGGTTACAAACGGGTTTGTGCCACAGGTGGTTACAAACGATAATGGGAGACGAACGGGTGACGTTGTAAAAGCTTCGCCCCCTAAAACAAGTAGGTATGATAAGTCCTATAAAATTACTCTTCTTCCGCAAGAGCGAACCATGTGTATCTATTAACTCGTTCACTGGCGGTGGCATGACGCTGGCGTTCACGGCAGCGTTGCGCACCCTGGGGAGATGCAAAGGGCGTAGCGATGAACCAGTGTTTCCTACTAGAACATGCCAATCGCTTCTAATATGCAGTGAGAGACAAACGACTGTGAATGGACACAGATGCCCACAGTCCATTTTTAGTTAACGAACATTCTGTGAATTTTAGGGTCGAGCTCCCCAGCCTGTGGCTTGTTCCCTCCTCTGTAGTGTTAGTAGTAGTAGTAGCAGTATGTAGCCACCTCTAGTTTATTAATTGGTCAATAGATGACGTTGTGTGTATATGTCTTTGGATATATTATCACTAGACGTTGTTCATGGTTTTCGTATATTTCATGATTTCGTATAATTGACGGACGGACAGATGGACAGACAGACAGACTCCGATAGGCAAACGGACAAACTTACAGATGGACAGACAGACAGATGAATGAACAAACATACAGATGCAAATACAGACAGAGGAACGGACGGTGCCCCGCCGCGGTGGTCTAGTGGCTAAGGTACTCGGCTGCTGACCCGCAGGTCGCGGGTTCGATTCCCGGCTGCGGCGGCTGCATTTCCGATGGAGGCGGAAATGTTGTAGGCCCGTGTACTCAGATTTGGGTGCACGTTAAAGAACCCCAGGTGGTCTAAATTTCCGGAGCCCTCCACTACGGCGTCTCTTATAATCAAATGGTGGTTTTGGGACGTTAAACCCCACAAATCAATCAATCATCAACGGACGGACAGAAAGACACAGACAGAGTTAGACGAACGTAAGCCCGGACGGACAGACGGACGGAACCATGAACGGACGGAAGCACGGATGGACAAACGGGCGGAAGCATGAATGGATGGATGGAAGCATAGATGGACAGATGGATGTATGCATGGGTGGACGGACCGACGTAAGCATGGACGAATCTACGAAAGCATGGAGAGATGGACGGACGGACGAAGCACAGACGCACAGAAACACGGATGGACAGACGGTCAGACGGACGGACGAACACACGGACGAAAGCACGGATGGATGGAAGCACGGATGAACAGAAGGATGGACGCTTCGCCCCACTCATCATCATTTGCTCTGTGCTGCATGACAAGTGAGTTTTTAAATCAAGAAACTCGCTAGCAGACGCTGCGTGCATCGGCATTGCGAGGCGACAGGGGAGAGCGTAGCAGAAGAAAGAGAGTGGTTACGCCACACACTAGATTGAGCTCGACCATAAGGCGCTCGGTATCTAAAACACACAGAAATGCAGTACGCGCATGGACTCATTGTTTACGCAACTACACAAAACCACAAGGATTTCACAATTGCTCCAGCGTGCACGCACGAAGAACGTGACCATTTTCTCTTTTGTGAGGACAAAGTT